TCCGGTCTAACGCGGCAGCTACTGCCAGCGGCAGTAATGAGAGGTTTCAGGAAGAGAAGGGCAGTCGGTTTGGACACATTCATTTGGAAAATCACCACCTTGCCTAGCAGCTGACCCTTGGGTCCAGGTGTGATGTGACAGGGGCCATGAGTAGAACACTTGGCAGTCCCGTGGAGCCGGGAGCCATGGCCGTGCATTCCTAGTGGAAGACACTCAGCCCCCTGCCCCTGAAGGGACTGCTACCCTTGGTGTGGGTGCCTCATCCACCAGCTTGCCAAAGTGACTTGGCATGTTGCCAAGGGACAGATGCACCTTTAAGAAAATTGCTTTTCACTATGGAACACAAAAGCTCCAGAACATAAAGGCTATCCACTGTAACAGCTCCTCCGACCTTTACAATGACTGAAGCTGTTGATAATAACACACATCCAAGTCGTTCACAGAGTCTTTGGTTCCTATGTACCTTTGAACCCCTAACAAGCTCCATGTGAGCCAAGCGGCACCAGTGAATCCTCTGATGATGGACAGAGACCCGCACTGAGAGGGCCAATGGCTGGGACCTGGCTCTCGTCCTGTCTGGCGGCGCCCTATTCCCACAGGGTCTGCAACCACTTCCTTTGCGCCCTGGGCATTTTCTCCTTTTGCTTGCCAGATGCTTTGGAATCAATACATGTAAAATAATAGTAGTTGCCATTTTTATTATGCACTTACCATATACCGGGCTTTATGCTAGATGCTTCGGAAACTTTCCAGTTTTATTCTAACTTCAATCCCAATTATTTTTCCCATTTTATAAATAGGGAAACTTAGGTTTGGAAAGTCAAGTGGCTTATCCAAGGTAGCACAGCCAGCAAGAAGCCTCTGGGATATGAATGGGCTTGTCTCAACTTCACTGCCTCCCACTGGGGAGGAAAATCGCTCCAAGGGAAAGGAGTCAGCACTGTAGCCCAGTGATAGCCCCGTATTTCTCAGTAGGAAGGTTAAAAATAATAGAAGCAATGCAATATAAAATCAAACCTCAAGGGATCTTGAGGGGGGCAAGTGGGGGGTGGGATCTGTTGTCCTGTCTTTATCTGCTAAGAGAACTGCACTTGAATGTTTCTCTTTCCTTTTCTTTAATTTATGCAGCCGTAATGATCCTCAAAACCTTATTCTTAAACCCGAAAACATGGTGTCACAGCTGGTAATTTTAGAAGGAGGAGGAGGAGAGAAGGAAGAAGCAGAGACCTAGTGGGAAGTCAGTGTGGGAGGAAGGGTGAGGAGCAGGCTCTGGTTGATTTCAGGTCCCGCCAGGCCTGCCTGGGCCACATGCCAGCTGCTCCTCTCAGTTCCCCCTCCCCCCTCAACTTTTCAACCCAACTGCCCTGCATGAGTTAGCCTAGGTCTGCGCAAAGAACCTAAGCATCTGGGAATCATTTCGTTCTCTCAAAATGCACTGATAATTGAGAAGGATACTTTTCCAACTATTTTCCCATATGGGAAAGAAAAACCTCTTTTAAATAAATATTCAGCGAAAACCCAGCTCGGCAAGACCCCAGATGGACCCAGAACGACATGTCTGACCGCCGGTGGTGTGGAGCGTGACGCCACATTCTCAACTTCCCACCCACATGGAAGAGTCGCATGGACCCCAAACCCACAGCAATTCAGGCACTGTCTGTAGAACACTCTAAAAATGAAGCAAGCCTATCCATGGGTCCCAGACTCTCACACAGGGGAGCCACATATGGGATTTCTGATAACATGATGTACAGAAATCCATGGAGCCACCTGTCAACGCTGCTTCTCAGAGTCAGGTGCCCATACCCCCCTCAAGCACGGGTGGCAGCAGGAGGTAAACAAGGCCACAGGACAGTTCACTGCACGAAAAAGGCCACCCCACAGAACTGTGATAGGGACCTATCACCCACCAAGCCCCAGAACCTGTGGGTGTTGCACTTGAATCAGTTATCTCAGACCTCACAGCAACTGGATGAGGTGGGCACAGACATGCCCATTCTATAGCTAGGTAAACTGAGGCCACGCAGGTAGCCAGTAAGGGGCAGAGCTGAGGTGGGAATCCAGACCTCCTGCACGAATTTCATCACCACCAGGCCTGGGCAGAAGTGTGGCCACCCAGCTTCTCCCTGACTGCTACTGGACTTCACCTTTACATGCAACCAACTGTTCCCAGGTCACGCATGCCCTGGCTTTGACCAGACTTTCTCTGAGACCTGCCCAGGTCCCTGGCATAGCTCCTTGTGGCAAACAGGTTCACCAGAGGTACTAGGGCCTCCTCTTCAGGGCACAGAAGCATTCCCAATGTTTTTATTAAACTTTTAGGATTGCAGTTGCTGGGTAGAGAGATGCAGGACTGTGGGGACCCCATGGGAAGGCTTGTCAAAGCCGTCACAACACTTTGCGGGGCTGGGGTGTACAGGATGGCAGCCACTGGCCACTCACAACTGCCGAGGGCTGGGAACGAGGCTGGTCCACACTGAGATGTGCTGTGAGCGTGAGACACACACAGGGTTTCAAAGACTTACTATGAAAACAAGAATGGAGAATATCACCTGAGTACTTTTCATATCAATCACATGTTGAGATGAAAACATTTGTGATATGCTGGTTAAATAAAATATATTATCAAAGTGAATTTGGTAATTACCAAGTTATATATTATAATTATTATACATATAATCAAAATTTGTTTCATTCTTAACATGGCTACTAGAAAATTCAAGATTACATCTGTGGTTCGTGTCATATTCTGCCAGGCAGAGCTGGTCTGGACCCTTCTGGAGACCTTTGACTGACTACTAAGTATAAGCTGGAATCTGTTGCAGCCTATTTGTTCAGATGTTGATGCCTCTTTAACTCCCCTTAAGCAAGGGGAGCCCAGAGGTCACCTCACTTGGTAGGCTGGAGGGAGGCGTCCAATGAGAATTCTTCCCAGAAATCCTCAACCAATGAGAGAGTGGGAGAGCAACTTCCCAAGAGCCCAAAGCACAAGAATGGCCAGCCCTCTTTATCCTTATTTCCTTCAGGGAGCCGGGCAACGCAGGCTAGGGAAGCAAATGATCGAAGCAGAAATAGGCCTTGAACCACAAATGCAAGCCATGAATTCAAAAGCCACACGTGGGATTTCAAAATCTTGAGTAGCCACACTTAAAACAAGAAAAAAAAATAACTGAAATTAATTTTAATAATATAGTCCAACCCGATACATTCAAAATATTATTTTAACCTATAGTCGATATGGAAATAATTAATGATACGCATTGTCTTTTTCATACTAAATCTTTAACTTCAGGTGTGTATTTACGCATGTACCACAACACTCATAACTGATGAGCAAAGACGACACCCCAGTTGGCCCAGCTCTAGAGAGTCTAAAAGTCTATGACTCCAAGGACACTGAGCACGGTGAGCAGGAAGCATTGGCCCCAACCTGAACGCCATGGCTCGGAAACTGTGGTACGGCCACTAAGTTTGTTTGCCAAGAGTTCTGATGGCGGCGGCGGGTGCGGGGAGGGAATCAAGTCTCTGAATAATACTTACACAGAAAAACACCGTAGGGGAAAATACACTGAAATGATGAATAACTGTAATCATTAGGCGGTATGGTTGTGAATCCGTCCCTTTCCTGTTATACTTTTCTGTATCTTACAAATTCTTTAATATTAATTTAGAAACTATAATTTTAAAACTTAAAGGGATTAAAACAATGAAGCATAAAATATTCATTGAACTACTGTGCATTTGGTCCCGAGTTCTCCAAGAAGGGGATAGAACACCCAGGGACACTGAAAAAGGAGCTAATACACCACTTGTGGGAAGAGGGAGGGGAGATATTTTCCCTGGTTGGATATTTTGCCTACACTTTAACTGGGAATGTCAAACTACATACCAGCGAGGGCTGCAGGGAATTCCACGCTCGGTCAGCAGCAGAAGCAAGTGTCTGATGCAAACAACCTGCATCTGTCTCGGCCGAAATGCCTGCATCCCTCGGCCCAGTTACGACAAGAGCTGCCCTTGTGGGGGAGGAAGGCAGCTGCATGTTGGTGGGTGCGCTCAGACTCGAAAAAACAGGTGACCGCACATTCTTTCAGCGAGTGCACAATGTGAGTCAAACCGTTTATAAAATGCCTGCAGCTGTTTGGGAGAACACAATGGCCACTCACAGGTACCAATTTAAAGGCCAACCCCGCCCTGCTCACGTGTGCGCGCACGCACGCATGCGCACGCACGCACGCATGCGCACACAGCACCAGACGGCCCCAGGTCTAAGGATGCTGTAAAGCCTGTTCACGACGTACCTGCCCACAATACCTCCATTTCTCCAAAAGGACGAAACTTCACAGAAGCAAATCTTGCACAACCAGAGGGGGCATTTCATTTAGGGAAGAGGAGGCAGTTACCCTGCAAATGTTGAGGCCTGGGATTCTGTTACCTGGGCCATTTGTCCCCCTCTAACCTTGAGATCTCTATGGAGTGACGGTTATTGGTGACCAGAGATTCCCTGCTCCAGAGAGTAAATCAATGTTGAGCCCATTTGCCTCAAAAGGTAATAAACTAGATCAGTGGTTGTCGAGGGCTCCTGGGGGGGGGGGGCGGGTGGAGAGTTGAGGTGTGATGTCTAAGGGGTGCAGGGTTTTCTTGGGGGGCTGACAATGATCTAGAATTATAGTGATGATCGCATAACTGATTATATACTAAAAGCCATTGTATACTTTAAATAAGCAAATGACACAGTATGTGAACTACATCTCAATAAATCTGGCTTTTTAAAAAGAAATAATAAGCTCAGCTAAGAAAGCAACTCGCTCAGTCCCTTTTACAACCATGAAGCTTCCGTGACCTGAGGTGCTTCTTCACCCATATGAAGATGGGGGTGGCTCTGCGCTTTTTTCCTGTGTAAGGACTCGTGCCAAAGCAGTGCCCCCCTTTGTAAAATACCCAGTGTGCCTCTGCCAAAGGCAGGCACCACAGAGCTCCAAAGGCTCCCAGCTTTCACTGACCTTTCTGCTCCTCCCGCACTGCTGGCCTCCTTGGAAATGACCTCACCCGTGACGTCTGGAACATCCTTCTCAGGAACCGAAGGGGATGGGCCAGGCCCCAGGCTCTTTCTGGGACAACGTTAAGAAAGCAACAGATGGTAAGAAGGCCACTGTTCTTTGTGTCCTATTGAAAATAACTACTGTGCTAAAAGGCCTAGAACAAAAAATTGTTTGGGGCAGGCCATGGGTTTGAGATGCTTTTAGATCATTTAGGCATCTCTGCATAAATCACTGCGGATTCAAAAGCAGATCTATCTGGACTCCTGATAAACAGTGATTGTCTATAACCTTTGACCCAGCAGTGCACTGCCAGCCAGCAGACAGCTCATGCTTTGGGAACAGTTTAAGCAGGATGTGTTGAAGAACACAAGGAAAGGCACAAGACTTGTTATACAAACAGCTCCCACGTCTCCACCCATTACTCTCACAATTTCCATAATCTCAGCACATCCAGAGACTGGTTGTAAGCAGGTAAAATGTAAACAGTTAGATATGGAAAACTTAGCTTCTTAATAATGACCCACCTATTTGACTGACCTATAGAAATCAGGGTGAGAACCACTCATGAAGCGGACCCCACATTCCCATGGGAATTTATTCTTTAAGTACCTTTCAGCATGGAATGCTTCTGGAGCCAGGCTTTGCAGTTTAGGGTCCTGAGTGTCTTCAGGTTCCGGAGGTGAGGAGATACATGCCTTCCCATCCCCAGCAGGAGTCGGAAGCTCAGCCTGCTGATGCCCAGCTGGGCCGTCCACGTGCAGGGCGTCTGCAGCCTCCATCCCCACAGTCCCCTGGGAGCAGCCTGGGTCCCCACAGCTCCCTGGCGGCACAGAGGCAGGAGGCACTCCAGAGAACATCCTTGTCGTACCTGATTCCGGCAGGTCACCAGGCACACGTGCCCCATTCTCAGCTGTGCTCAAAGTGATGTCACCCTCTGCTTTCCTAGCAGCCCCTGCCACCACACTGGGCTCCGGGGGAGTGACTGTTACTGCTGCTGGCTCAGGGGTGCTCTGGTTGCCCAGGGAACTTTGTTTTTCTGAGGTCTGAGCATCGCCTCCATGTCTTCTCTCTCCCCCAGGTATGACAGGGTCCCAGGGCTCACTGATGGCCTCAGCCATGACAGGCACATCCCCATGGGGGCCAGATGCTCCCAGGCCAGAGGTGGACATTGGCACATCACCTGGAGCTCCAGTGTGAACAAAGCTGCAGGCACCATCTTCTCTGGGTTGACTGTTGCTGGTGGATGTGTCCTGGTGCTGCTTCCCAGAAGGAATCCTGTCATCTGGAACCGAGTCCTCTTCCCTGGGGTTCTGGGGAGCCACCGGCAAGTCTGCAGCTTTCTCTGCAGGAGTCTCTGAAGCAGCAGCTTGTGATGAAGGACCCGAAGCTGATTGTTGCCGGCTGCTTCCCGGCCCTGAGCAGGCCTGGCCTCCCAGCCCCGCTTCTCCTGCCCCCTCCAGCTCCTCGCTGTCCTTCAGCATCAGCGGGACACCAGTCATTCCCTTGCCCACGCTGGCACCCGCCAGGTTCTGCCCTGCCAGCCCCAGTGGCTTCTCTGGAGCCGGATCCTGGGGAGCCCTGTGGGGAATCTCAGCCTCAACAGCCAGCTCTTGCTTCTGCTTCTGTGAGTCCCCCCAGAGTCCAGCAGGAGGGGCAGGGAGAGGGGCTACAGCTTCTACTTGAGTCCCATCTGGAAGCTTCTCTGGGCTTAATGGCACATTGAGGTCCTTGCCCCCGACAGTCCGGCCAGGCCCTGCCTTTTCTCCTGCTGTGCGCTGGGGCCGATCGGCGGTCAGGGCTCCGAGCACAGATTTCTCAAAGATCTTGGTAATATGCTCCCTGAAGTCAGGGAATCCGGCAATCGTGCTGGTCTGCCTGGAGCTTGTGTCCACACCATCGGACGTGCCCTTCCTCACGTCCTGGGAAGGTTCTCCCATCCCCTCCGCGCCCCCCTCACTGGCCGGGTGAGCAGGAATTTCCTGGGGCTGAGTGCCTGCATCAGGAGCTCGGACCGCTCTCTCCTCCTCTGTCGTCTGCTTACCACTGGCCGGAAGCAGCATCCTGTCCATGTAGGGCACAGGGTCCATAGGTCCTTCACAGTTCCTGGCTTTGGGGCTTCCACTGCTGGCTTGCACCGCAGAGATGTCCCCACCTGCAGCTCCTGGTTGGGAGACGGAGGCAAGGGAGCCAGCAGCCGGCTTCCTGGAGGCGGCATTTTCTGAGGCACACGGGGGCTCCTGTGCAGGACAAGGGCCTTCACCAAGACCTCTAGGACTATCTGCTGCCCCTTTCCTGGCAGCACTGTCAATCTGCAGGTAAGGAGTGTCAGGAGCGGCCTCTTCTGGTAGCCCCAACGGTAGGAGCTTCTTTGGGTTGGGGATAGCCTGGGCTGCTGGACTATCCACCATGCTCCTGGAAATCCCACCCAGCTCTCCTGCTGGCGGCAGGGTGTCCTGACAGCTGGCTGAGGGCTGCCCAGGGTGGCCAGCTTCGCCTTGGGCAGGCGTGGGAGCTTGCTCCCCAGGGGCGGGGCACTGCTCCGCCAGCAGGAAGCCGCCGCTGGGCAGAGTACCTTCTCCTGGCTCCTCTGGAGCCTGAGGCCCCCTCAGGTCTCCTTTGTCAACATCGCCACCAGTCTCAGCAGCAGCCCGTGCCTCACCTCGCGGCTCCTCGGCTGATGGGAAACTTCCAGGAAGCTTCTGGGCCTCTGTGTCCGAGGTGGCAGGACGCTCCATTTCCTCCTGCGGGGCCAGCCCCGGTTGCCACCCGCCTTCCTGGGTTTCATCACATGCCTCGCTCTCTGGGGCATCCTGAGTGGGTGTGACGCCGGGGCTGGCAGGCGCTGGGCCTGGCGGGCACTGAGCTGCATCCAGGAGAGCTACTGAGTCAGGCCGGTGGGGCAGGGCCCCCGCCGTGTTCTCACTTGCCTCCTTCGTCTTGCCGGAGCCCTGGAGTGGGGGCCCGGCGTCAGCTGCTTCAGAAGCACCTGCGTCCCCGAGACATGCTTCGTCATGCTGGCTGCTGGCTCTCGGCACACCGACCGGCTCCTGCTGGGACTTGTTCGGCCCCTGCCCAGCGCAACTGTCGTTCCTGCTGCAGCTCCCTGCGAGGGAAGAGTCTTGAGAGGTGTCCACTGCAGGCAGCAGGATGCCGCAGGGCTCGCTGCCGCTGCACACCACCTCTTGCCCGTCCTCCCCAAGTGCAGGCAACTCGGGTCTCACTGGGGCCGGCAGCTCCAAATGCCCTGGCACAGGGCTCTCCAGAACCGTGTCCCTGGGAGCTGAACACGGAGCATCAGACAGACCGACTTCGGGGAGCTCACTTACTTCTGATCTGGAAGCCTGCTCCTCTCCTCTGTGAGTGGACAAGGTCACACCCTCCTGAGGTTTCATGGGTACGGGGATTTGGGGAGAATCTGTACCTGGGTTCTTAAAACCTGGATCACCTGGAGAAGTCTTGTCCTTATTTTCACACTGTTGCACCTTCTCCCCAAGCATGTCAAAGACAGCACCTTCTGGGCCCGGTTGGGATGGCTGGCAATGGTTCTCAGAAGAGCCCGAGGGTCCCTCAGGTGCAGCTACTTGTATTTGGCGTCCTGGGCAGGACAGGTTTCCCTCCTGATCTTGCTCCGGAATGAGCATCGGGAGCCCACAGTCCACTACCAAGCTCTCTCCCTCAGTGGGATGTGGCCCGTCAGCTTGGATTTCCTGTCCAGCTGCATCATGCCCCAGCCCATGGGGTTGAGGGGACGTCAGCAAGCCCTCCCCATCACAGCTGCTGGGCTTCTGCACAGATGGGTGGCCCCTGGTCTTTATTTCTGATGAGCTCTCCACCTCCCTGGCTTTGGGGACGACCTCTGCCGCAGAAGTCGACAGGAAGTCTGATTTCTCAGATTCTAACGCAGGAAGAGTGTCCATTCTTCCCAGTCCCCCCACGTCCTGAAGGATGTCGGGACATCTGGGCTGCCGTCCTGGCCCCTCCTGGACAGCTCCTTCGGGAACGATGTGTTCACCAGCTCCCTCCAGTGCAGGGGGTGTGATGGGGCCCTGTGCATGGAGCATGTGCAGTGAGCCAGGTGCATGGACCACGCTGACTTCTCCCAGAGCCCCACAGGCCACTGTGCTGTGAGCGGCCATGTGCCCAGGGCCCTCCTCCCTGCAGGGCTGTGCTAAGGCCGTGCTCGGAAGGACTTCACTCTCCACGTCACTGGTTCGCCTTGACACCTCCTCTTTCTCCTTCTCTGGGTCAGGCTTACAGCCGAGGGCCTGAGGGTGCTCTCCCCACTGGTTCCCAGGATCTGCACTGCCAGGTGGCTCTGGGGCTTCTTCCTGTCCTATAGGATTGGCCCCAGATTGTCTGCTTTCCCCCTTAGCCACACGTGGGCTGTCAGGGGCCCTGGCTTCATCCTTTGGCCCTGGTGAGCTTCTGGCCCTTTCATCCCGTGTGCTGGGAGGAGGGGGCAGCGCCCCTTGCTGGACTCCATGCCGTTGCTCACTGCTGCAGATCTCCCAGCTCTCCTTCTGGGGCAAATGGGCAGGACCCTCTGTGGGGGTCCCTTCTGGACCCTCTCCCTCACCTCTGAGATCTGATGTGGGCGTCTCCTGTCCTGCCAACCCTGCCTCTGCTGGCTCTTTGGCAGGATCTGTAAAAACAGGCACCTCAGGCCCGGAAACCATCTCCCTGGCCGGCCAGCTGGGTTCTTCTGCGACAGCCGAGGACTGAGCGCCTGGCTGTGAAGTGAGGCCTGAAGCTGGATGCTGTTCCTCAGCACTGACAAGCAAACCAGCCTCAGGTTGGTCCCCTGCTGCCACACAGGCGGCTTTACTGGGCGTGGTTCCTGGCATCCCTGTCTTTGAGTGACACTGAGCATCACTGGCATCTGGAGTCTCCATCCAAGAGCCCCCTTCCCCTGGCACCAGGGCAGGATATGGTGGATCACAGGGTGGCTCCGAGCATAGCGGTTGTGCCCCTGTTTGCTGCTGGCTACTTTCCCGGGGAGAAGCAGTGGCCTTGGCTTCTGGATCAGTCCCTGAATTGCTTCCCGTGGGACAACAGGTGCCAAGGGAAACTGAGTCAGCGACTGAATCCTGCAGCGGCATCTCTGCCTGGAAGCTGCCTCTGTCTGAGGCTCTGGGGGATGGCACTTCTGGGGCCCGGGTCTCAGGCATTGGCAGGCCCTCCTCCAAGACAGCTGAGCTCTCCTTGCCTGACGGGGCTGCAGAAGGGCTCGTGGGGGCTGCTTGTACTCCAGGCACTGGTGGAGGGAGGCCGCCTGCAGCCTCTTTCCTTTGGGAGTCGAAACCGCCAGGCTGGCCTGCCTCTCCAGCCAGCTGTCCCTCTACTGGCTCTCTGGGAGGTGCTGGTGAAATTCCTGGTGACTGATCAATGGAAGCTGATTTCCACCCCTCTTCCTTTAGGTCGTTCTGTCTTCCAGCACTGGGAACAATGGCAACTGCAGTGTGCTGAGTAGGGCTGTCCCCGTGAGGGGCAGACACTGCCAGGGTGTACCCCCGGACATTCGGGGAAGATTTCCTCCTGGGGTGCTGAGCCAGGGGCCGGATGAGGGGCCAGCTTTCAGGTGCAGCTGGAGGGCTTGCTGAACAAGCTTCAGGTGGACTCTCAGCAAAGGGCATGTGTCCCTCTTCCTTTAGGTTGTTCTGTCTTCCAGCACTGGGAACAATGGCAGCTGCGCTGTGCCGAGTAGGGCTGTCTCCGGGAGGGACAGGCGCTGCCAGGGTGTACCCCTGGATATTTGGGGAAGATTTCCTCCTGGGGTGCTGAGCAAGGGGCCGGATGAGGGGCCAGCCTTCAGGTGCAGCTGGAGGGCTTGTGGAGCAAGCTTCGGGGGGGCCCTCGGCAAAGGGCATGGAGCCTGGGGGGCTGTGCTGCGCCCAGGGCACTGGTGGGCTGGGCAGTGCAGAGTCTTCCGGGCTGCTGGCTTTCTGCGGGTGCCTCCTTGGTTCAGTCACCTCTGGGGACGTGATGATGCCCGGATCTGAGCTGGCAGCACCCTCAGGAGCAGAGCAGGAGTCTCCGTGCGTGACGCTGTCAACAACGAGAACATTTACTGTGTCACTGGCTCTCAGCGATGCCAAGGACAGAGCCATAGCACAGGCAGAATCACCCCCATGCTCCCCCACCAAAGGCCACAAACTGCACCGTCCTCCTGTAGCTCCTTCCTCTGCCTGAGAGATGCCCCCAGTCCCGTCCCTCCCAAACCATGACACGTGGCATCACTTTCTCCAAAATCAACACCAGGAATCTCAAACACCCAGTACGGACCTTTCCGGGCTGGTCAGCACTGAATGGGAAAATAGGAAAACCAACTCATCATAGCCTAAAATGTGGGGAACTCAGAACGTTTTTAAGTAAGTTTGGTATAATAGAGGGTTTGAACCATTCCGTGTGGTTTACGAGGAGGTCCCAAACACTCCCTGGGATCCTAAGTGTCCGGGGAAAAGGCACAAGTGAGCACAGCTGTGCCTTGCAATAAAGATCCTAATTAACTTGATTCTTCGCATTCAACAGGTGTTACTGCGAGAGGCACAATTCCAAAGTCGGTCCTATTTAGCTTTGGAATGTCTGCATGTGTCCTATGTATAGCTCCTGGGGGCCAAGTTATACCTATGCCCATGTTTGTGTTGAACACACCAGCTGGGCAGTGTCGGCAGAGAAACTGTGAAACACGCAGGAACCCTGAGGGTGCTGGGCTCAAAATTACGGGCTTGCTATAAACAACTTGTCCAGTTACCGTAAAAGAGCTTATCTCCTGCTCTATTTGGGCTCTGTTTCTCAATTCTACATGGTTTTAATTAAGTGCATTTTAAGAATTTAAAAAGAATATTTTGCCAATACAAAATTTTGAAAATGTAGAAAGGTAACAGAGGTATGGTGTTTTTACCCTTTTCTTTAAAGTTATCATAGGGAGGAAAATTGCAAAGGAAAGTGTATGGAATCTTTTTGAAACTGTCACGTCCACACACATCCACAGACCCACAGGGTTTTCAGTGTGACCAACAAAAATTCTACTCCACATGTTCACTACCCAAATTCTAGCTTCCACACACGACAATGCGTATATCCGCACAGGAGGGATGCATACGGCGGCAAGATGAAGTACATTCCTGTTAAAATTTAGAGATAGGTGCGATGGACTGAGTCATGTCCCCCACAAAATCCATGCGTTGAAGTCCCAACACCCAGTATGACTGTGTTTGGAGACAGGGCCTTTAAGGAGGCAACTGAGGTTAAAGGAAGTCACATGGATAGAGTCCTGATTCAATGAGGGTGGTGAGCTTTAAAGAGGCGGGGACGCCAGGAATGCTGCCACTAGGAATAAAACCTTCAGAGGCAGGCAGCTGAATGCTTGGCTCATGTCCCCAAATTCCTAGGTTGAAACCTAACCCCAAGGCAATGATATTAGGAGGTGGGGCTTTGGGAGGTGATTAGGTCTTGAGTGCGGAGCCCTCACAAATGAGATTAGTGTCTTTATTAAAGGGACCCTAGAGAGCTCCCGGGCCCCTCCCACCACGTGAGGACACAGTGAAGATGTCTGGGGACTAGGGGGCTGGCTCTCACCAGACACAGAATCTGCAGCTGCCTTGATCTTGGACCTCCAGCCTCCAGAAGTGGGAGAAATAAACGTCTGTCGTTTGAGTCCCAGTCTACGGTATTTCTATGACAGCAGCCTGAACTGGCTGAGGCAGAGGGGAAGAGGCTCTTGACCCACCTGCATTCCAGCCTCTCGCCAAGCCCCTCCCCTGTGAAATGCGCGTGATGTCAGACGACATCCTGGTGGGAGGTGCATGCGCATCGAAGCTACACTGGTCATCCTGTTTAATGTCATGAGAATGGTGTGCCTGGGGCACTGGAAAGATTTCAGGTGGACCCAAGAGAGAGCTGGCTAGTGTCTCAACCAGATTATCATTTTCTGATCCAAAAGCAGAGCTGATAAGGGCAAAGAAGAGAGAACTCAGAGGGTAAGTTACGTGCAACCCTCCGATTCCCAAAGGGTCACTAGGACAGAAGTCCCCAAGGAGAGCCCTGGCCCAGTGCTGGCTGGTGCGAGGGAAAGCCCCCAGGATGGGGTAAGGAGCCAGGCCTGGCCGTCTGGACAGTATGAGGTTCAAGAGGGTCACAAGCTGTGAGGCCATTGGCTCAGTGGACTTTTCTAGAACTAGCACTTGAACTTCGTTGTGTCTGGGCCATTAGCTAGGGTTCAAACATCTTAGTAGCTGGGGAGAGGAATGGTGTGTCACTCCGAGACGGAGCCCTCCTAGTTACATCTGCTTGCCCAAGGAGCACAGACCATACCGCCCGGAATACAACAGACAGTGCTGCTCCCTCGTCCCCACCTCGGGCAGGGCCTGCCAGCTGAGGGGGAGTGTGTCTTCACCATCCGGAGACAAGAGAATCAATCCACTCGATTTGGACACCTCGAAACCTTGTGGTCTTATCACAGAGCACCCAGGACCAGGCATCCCGTTGAGTGCGAGGCACTCTCTCCCCTCAAACACGCACCAGCCTTTGGTTTATTTAGCGTAAGCTGAGCAGCACCAACCGCTTTGATCTGCCATTGGAAGCCACACACAGGAACCGATTTGCCTCAGGGCAGGAAAAGTTCTAAGAACGAATCTGTTCAGGGCTCCTCATTAATCAAAGCTTACATAATGTCCTTTTATGCTTCAAGATTGAGCCAGAATGTGTGGGATGCCGGTTCTGTTCAGGATTCAAAGGCGAGCTCTCGTGGGTTGGGCTCGCAACGGAAGGCTTTCAGCCCCAAGGGGGCGCTGCCTTTGTCTCGAGGTCAGGAGGGCACCCCGATGGCAGCCGCCTTGGTATGGGTAGACGCCCCCAGCCCAACGAAGGGGAGGGATGGGGTACAGACCTGGGAAGGGGGGCGATTTGCTGCAGCAAAGTTCCAGGCACACATGGGGAAGCAGGAAAGGCCCTGCCCACTGCCCTCGTGGGGGACAGTCACGTCCGGAGGGGACCCTAAGTGCGAAGTCCTGAACACAACACGCCAGCAGACTAGGAACACTCGCAGAGAGGAAGGAGGCCAGCTGGGGGAAACAAAACAAGCATGGCCCCGCACTGCCGGGCTTGGAGATCAACGAATGCAGAACACACCATTGTCAAGATGGAGAGTTCTTGCATACCAAACATTTACTAAGGTCGGGTCCATGCAAAGCGTGTTTCAGTTATGATAGCATTTAGTCCACACAGTTCCCCAGCAGAGAGAGGACCTCCCTGCTGTTGCACACAAAGAAATACTTCTGGAGCGGTTCAAGACCAGACCTAGGTCCCAGAGTCGCTTTGCCATGCAAGATTGAGCCCCATGCCGCCCACTCCAGGGCCCCGCCACTGCCCACTTCCCTGCACTTGCTGCCCGTGGCTCTGCTGGACGGCGCAGCGGCCCCATCCTCCCATCCACGCCAGCCCCCTTCATTCTGGTCTCCAGATGGCCGCTAGACAATGGCTTAGAAACCAAAGCCTGATTCTGTTCCCCATGGGTGGGGTGCAGAGTGGGGCGGAACTCTCTGGTGGCTTCACCTCGTTAAATAGAAGCTGTGGCCCGCAACCTACCTTTCCTGCCTCGGCCAGCACAGAACTCCCATCCTGCCCCTGCCTGGAGCCTGGGGTCCTCCCCCGTCCCCAGCACATCTCAGCCCCAGTCTCCACCTCTCAGTGAAGCTCCCTGACCCGGCTTCTCGGATCCGAGCTCCTTTCACAGGCCCTGCTGGGGATGACACTAGTCACAGCTGCCACCACCACAGGTGGACAAACACTTCCCCTGCTGGGTCTTGTCATATGTCCCAGCGCCCGGCAGAGAGTAAACACGGACTGCATGAACAGCTGACTGGATAGAGTGCTTGTCGGGGACCCACACTGGGGGGGGGGGCGCCTCCTATTCCGGAGACCTCGGAAAACCAATGCACGTTCTGAATGACCCAGGCAGAGGAAGGAATTCTCCAGCTAATAAGAGGGTGGAGGCTGCCATGGTTTCTTGGCCTTAAGGTGGTATTTCACATAGAAAGGCCCCTCCCTCAGACCCTGCTTGGCGAGACTCAGATTGGGTCCTGCCCGCCTGCACGGTCCTAACGGGTCTGCTCAACGCTCCCTGCACGACGCCGGGAGCCCACTGGCCTCAGCAGCCCGGCCAGACTCAGCTTTGTGTTTTCAATCCCATTTTAACTCTTTTTTCTGTGCTCATTCTGTAATAGGAAGAAACAAAAAACAAAACCAAAGACCACAATGCTTAAGCAACCTAAGCAATAGAGAAACAGAAAATATTGGTAGGTTCTAAAGAGCTACTGGGGCCCTGACTGGTGTGGCTCAGTAGGTTGAGTGCGGGCCTATGAACCAAAAGGTCACCAGTTCAATTCAGTCAGGGCACATGCCTGGGTTGCAGGCTGGGTGCCCAGTAGGGGGTGCACAAGAGGCAACCAACCAAGGTATCTCTCACACATTGATGTTTCTCTCCTTCTCTTTCTCCCTCCCTTCCCCTCTCTCTAGAGAGTAAAGAAATAAAATCTTTATTAAAAAAAATAAAGAGTTACTGGGGAGAAAGGTGTGGGGGGGTATGTAGTGCCTGAAACATCAAAGTATCCTTAATATTCAGCCTATACTTTGCCACAAGTACTTTTATATGACTTCAAGGTCAAGGTGTCAGTCCATACATGAGAATCTGTCATTCAACATAGCTGAGGACTGAAATCCAAGAAAAAATATTTCACAACTGCCTTCTAGCACATTTCTTGCAGCCCCCTCGTGGGGTCCTGAGAGGCAGTAGAGTAATTCAGTTTTACGGTTCCCAGGCTGGTGGAGGCTGCTGGGCTGATGTGCAGGAGGGCTCCCCGCAGCCAGCAGAGCTCAGTCTCTCACGGTGCCTCCCCCCACCTGTCATTGTCCTTTGAAGGCACCGAGACCACCCATCACAATGAAACGCCAGTTCATTTAAATATGTTTCTAACATAATTACTTCTCATCGTTCTGACGTTTCTTAATAATCGAATACCAAATGTAAACCTACCATCCTATTAGAA